ATCACCTCACACCAGTCAGAATGGCCGTCATTCAAAAGTCCACAAATGACAAATGCTGGAGAGGCTGTGGAGAAAAGGGAACCCTCCTACACTGCTGGTGGGAATGCAGTTTGGTACAGCCACTATGGAAAACAGTGTGGAGATTCCTCAAAAGACTAGGAATAGACTTACCGTATGATCCAGGAATCCCACTCCTGGGCTTGTATCCAGAAGGAATCCTACTTCAGGATGACACCTGCACCCCAATGTTCATAGCAGCACTATTTACAATAGCCAAAACATGGAAACAGCCCAAATGTCCATCAACAGATGACTGGATAAAGAAGAGGTGGTATATTTATACAATGGAATACTACTCAGCCGTAAAAACCGACAACATAATGCCATTTGCAGCAACATGGATGCCCCTGGAGAATGTCATTCTAAGTGAAGTAAGCCAGAAAGAGAAAGAAAAATACCATATGAGATCGCTCATATGTGGAATCTAGAAAACAAAAACAAAAACAAACAAACAAACAAACAAACAAAAACAAAGTGTAAATACAGGACAGAAATAGACTCATAGACAGAGAATACAGACTTGTGGTTGCCAGGGGGGCGGAGGGTGGGAAGGGATAGACTGGGATTTCAAAATTGTAGAATAGATAAACAAGAGTATACTGTATAGCACAGAGAAATACACACAAAATGTTATGATAAATCACAGAGAAAAAAATGTGACAATGAGTGTGTATATGTCCATGAATGACTGAAAAATTGTGCTGAACACTGGAATTTGACACAGCATTGTAAAATGATTATAAATCAATAAAAAATGTAAAAAAAAACTCCACAGCAGGGGGCACTGTTGGTAGTTCCATTTTACAGATGAGGACACTGAGGCTCACTTAGGTCAACTGGCTTCATTAAAGTCACAGAGGTAGTGGCTGAAAGGGGCAGGATTTAAGCCCAGGTCAGAGTTTGGTCAATAAATATCACTGCAGGCTGGGCCCTTGCAGTGAATGGATGGAGTGGCCTTGGTGAGCATGACCAGCTGAAGAGTGCATGTCCATCTGTGTGTGTCAGGGGTTGTCACCACAAAGCACCAGGTGACCTATTCCAGGTAAGAATGTGGGCCCGGTGTTGCCAGAGCTCCTGAGTTTCCAAGAGAGGCCATGCAATCTGCACTTTGATATGCGATCACCCTCTTTTGTATACAGGTTCGACATTTTCAGAAACACTGGCTAGGCCAAATCAGTGCCCAGGTGGGCCACCAGTTTGCAATCTCTCCACTAAGCTGTCCCGTGGGCCTTCCAGCTCTTCTTTGTGACCCACGCTCTTCTCTTTGGACGGCCGAGGGCTACGTACCTGCACGATCTCCAGCATCTCTGCCTTGCTGATGTAGCCATTCCCGTCCAGGTCATACATGCTGAAGGCCCATTTCAGCTTCTGCTCCAGCTTCCCCCTCGATGTCACACTCAGGGCTATGATAAATTCTCTAAAGTCTATTGTCCCATCTCCGTTAGCATCAAAGGTGCGGAAAACGTGCTCTGCAAATTTGGAAGCATCCCCGTAAGGGAAAAAGTTCCCGTAAATTTTCTTAAACTCCTCCATTGACAAATGTCCACTGGGGCAGTCTCTCAAGAAGCCTTTGTACCATTCCTGGATCTCGTGCTCCGTGAAGTCTGTGCTTTCCAGCAAGTCCTGCATGACCTCTGGGCGCAGCTTGCTGTTCTGTTTCCCCATCTTGGCAGCAAGAATTCAGCTGCAGATAGAAAAGAATAGAGTATATATAATTTTTAAACTGTTTCTTTAGAGGCACATGTTATAATCTGTGATTGTTCCTCTGGGGAAAAGAAAGAAATTGTATTTTAGTCCAATAACACTGTCTAGGGTTTTCCAACACTGTGGTCAGCCAAACAACATGCAGAAAGATAGGCAGGCAGAGATGCAGGGCAGAAATGTCATTGACCAGAAAACTGACACTTCTTTTACACAGAGCCAACCTAAAAACAGGAGATTCGTAATGAAAGAGAGAGAGAGAGAGAGAGTTAATTGGTTACTTAGCTCTGCCTTATCTATTTGCAAGAGGTTGAGCGGGACTTGAAGAAGACTGGGGCTCTAACCCCCAATCCAAGTACCAGCAGGGAGAATTAAAGGGGAAGTGCTTTGTGAATGAAGTGCTTGGGCTCCTTCTGAATATTATAAATGTGGGCATAAGTAAAGAAAATAGAAACCTATCTAATTCCATTAAATGCTACCAAGCTAGGTCATTTATTTAGATCCACAACAGCAAATCACTGTCAACACTGGGTTTCGATGGTAAAGATGATGCTTCATGAAGTTGTTTATGTCCTATGATCGTGGCTTATGAAAGTGGCCAAACTTTCCTTTTCAAAATACAAATGACTTCATATTTTCTTATTGTAATAGCAGCACGTCCATAGCAAGCTGGTAAAACACAGTGATGCATGAAGAGGAAGTCAGCATCATTTCAAATCTTAACACCTAAGAGATAACCACTGCTAGCATTTTGGGGTGTGTCCTTCTAGATTTTTTTATATGCACCCTTACCTAAATATGCTATTAATGTATGTTTTTAATACATTTACATTTCAAAAAATAAGAATATGTACCCTTTTGTTATCTATTTTAAAGCAATATAAATTGAGGAATAAAGGCGCCTTTTATTAGTTGGGAAAAATCCTGTAATTACCATCTTCCCAGTCACAGGGCGATTCAACATTAATTGAGCGCTATATACCAGGCACATTTCTGGCGCTGTGGATGCAAAGAAGAGTCAGATGAGCCCTCTCCTCCTTAAGGGGCACCCAGTTGTGTATGTGTGGGGGTGATGATGGCATTGAGAGGGCAACACAGTAAACATTCAAAACGTGGTATCAGGAGACTGGACATGGTGCCGTGAGAGTACATACAAAGGACACCCAAGCCAAAAGGAGACATGGGTGCTATCAGGGAAGCCTTCTTGGAGGAGGTGACATCTGAGCTTAGTTCCCCTGTCTACAGTCTTTATGATTTAAGCATGGTCAAGATAAATCCCTTTTCATAAAGGAGCTCTGCACTTATATTTTACATTTTTCTTGTATTGGAAAATTATAGAATTATAAAAGGTAACACATCCCCATTTTAACAATGATTCCCACTTTCCTTCGAGATTTTCACTTTGTGGTGTTTATGTCTGCCTTCCTCCCACTTCGAGGTGAGCTCCTTGAGATGGAACCTCCGTTGAAGTTACTTTGTCTCTGTAGAGCCCACCATAGATAACACTGGGTGAGTTAGTGAACGAAGGAATGACTGATAGATAAACAATTACAACATGGAAATGTGGAATAATCTTCTTGAAAAGGAGTCTTTCCGCACTAGCTTTCAGAACATTGAGACACAGCTAGTTGGTAGTTAAGACTTGGTCTAAGGATCACTTTTTTCCCCCTAATTTTATTGAGATATAATTAATATAGAACATTGCGCACAATTGAGGTATACAACATAATGACCTGATATATGCATATATTGGGAAATGATCACCACAGTAAGTTTAGTTAACATCTGTCATCTCACACAGTTACAGGTTTTTTTTTTCTTCTGTTAAGAACTTTTAAGTCTACTCTCATAGCAACTTTCAAATATACAACACAGCATTGTGAACTGTAGTCACCACGCTGCACGTTACACCTCCAGAACTTACTTATCGCATAACCTGAAGTTTGTGCCTTCTGGCCGCCGTCACTCTGTTCTCCCTCCCTCCCCTCACCGTTGGGATCTCAGACTGAATTGCCTGTATATCTGTCTGAGGCTCCCACTAAAAATAAACTCCTTGAGGGCAGTGTTTGCATCTCACATGCTCAGATGTCTTTGGCTACATCCACAGTTCAGGAAACAACACGCAATCCTTATTAATTGCCAAGTTGATTGATTTTGGCTCTTAGATAGGCATTCCCAAAGGGTAGAGGAACAGAGTGAGCTTCCCAGTAGCAGGATCAACAGCTGCTAGAAGGAACTTATTTTCAAAGGTCCCCCTTCACTCGGAATCAGGCAGGTACCGTCTTATGCAAGAGGAAAATTAAACTACGACTCCAAACTGAGCACCAACAGAGTTTATGAATTGAAACTTTCCGTAACTTCCACTTCCTTTCTGTGTCCCCACCTCTTTCTTTTTCCTCCAGAAAAAAGGTTGGAAAGGCTGGTTTGTATTAGAATTTTCAAACTGTCATTTCATTGCTAACTTGGCAATTTGCCTGAGGCCAGAATTCAGAAACATGAGGTCATACATAATACATGGATTTACAGAGCTTTGAAACACTTTATGGAATTTACAAGTAATTTTGAGTTTTCCTTTTGGGGAGTTTTTTAGAGTGTGGTGTTCAACCAAACCACTGTTATTACACTTTGGTTCTATACAAATCACCATGTGCAAGGCCTTGGGGAAAAAAAAATGCCACTTTGATATTTAAATCTGCTCTCTTAAAGAGTGATTTATTTCCCAGGATATATAAAGCACTGTTTCCTCAAAACCGAACTTATGTTCCTTCCCCAATGTTTAAAAAGTGCTTCTCATTATTAGCTGTTTTTGCAGTAGAAACAAATTGCCTCAACATTTTGGCTAAGTCTCCCGCTGAGACGGATCTGTGTGCAGCTATTTTTCCGGTAAACAGTAATTAAACCACATTTACAAATTCATTAGCACAGTAAGGCCATAACACAAACCAGGCAGAAGAGCATGGAATAAGTTATCTGGGAAGTGGGTGTTTGCAATTAGTCCAGAATTTGTAGAAAACTACAAATACTTCATGAAGTATGATGTCTGAGCTTGAGAAGAGCGTCTGGCCTCAGTTAGGCGGGATGACAGAAATCTCAGGGGATCTATGACGGAGCTGCAGTCTTGGAGGGAGGACGGAAAAGACAGGAAAATGCCTGAGAATACCTTTTGGAAGACAGGAACTTCTGCTGTTGGAGTTGAAGAGGGGATAAGACAACAGCAGGGAAATGCTACATTAATTAGCAGTCAGGAAAACACATCGTCTAGAGACAAAAGTTGCACCTCAGGTCAAATCCTTTTACTTACTCCATTCAGTCATTAGGACATTTATTTTGTGCCAGTTGAACATAATGGGGAAAAACTCAGGCCGTGGAATAAAAATGCTTGGGTTTAAAGTCTGGCTCTATCGTTGATCAGCTCAGGTAATTCACTTAACTTCCTGGGGCACCTCAGTTTTCTCATCTGCAAAGTGAGTTCAGTTGTATGTGGTCCTATCGCACTGATTTAATGTGAGAATTAAGTGAGATGGTCATGTATGCAGAGCTCTGGCACTGAGCTGGGGCCAGATGCCGCGGTCAGTGAAAATGACATCTTACTCTTGACGGCGCTTCATACATCATTCTATTGAAACTTCAAAGCAACCCTGAGTGATAGGCAGGGCAGCTTTCTCCATTTCATAAGGAAAAAAAGAAAGAAAGAAAAAAGAAAGAAAAAGAGAAAGAAAACTCAGAGAGGCAAAGTGACTTGTTCCAAGTCACACAGCTTGTGAAGGGGTCAAAAGGTAAACTTGATTTGAAAGTGGCTATCCACTGATTTTACCACTACACCCTACTAGCTTTGCAGACAAGCACACACAGAAATTAAGACAACAGTTCCATAAAAAGCCAGAAAGAAGCAGTTAAGAGGGAAGAGACCACCTCCTATTAGAACTCATTCATGTCACAAATATGTGCCAAATGGCTACCCGGAGGCAGGTGTGGCTCCAGGCATTAGGGATTCAGCAGGGAACAAACAGGCAAAACTCCTGTTCTCAGGGAGCTTATAGCCCAGTGGCACGAGACAGAAAATAAATAAGATAAGTAAGTGATATGTTAGCAGGAGAGGAGCTGTGGAGAAAAGTAAGGGGGTTGGGGAGTGCCGGGAATGGGTGAGTGGGTGTTAAAATTTTAGATGAAAAGCCAGGGAAGGCCCCAGTAAGAAAGTGATGTTTGAAAAAGACCAGAGAGGGAAGGAGGTAGCCATGGAGATGACTGGGAGAGGACTATTCCAGGCAGAGAAAACAGCAGCTAACAAGAGTCTGCATAGAGAGCACGCGAGCACACTCAAGGACAGGGCTGGAGCAGGGCGGGAGGAAACCAGGAGATGAGATCCGGATAGTTATGAGGACCAGATGATGTGGGACCAAGAGGTAACCATGAGGACTCTGGCTTGCACTCTGAGTGAGATGCAGCCACTGCAGAATTTTTAGCAAAGAAGTGATTGGAGTGATTTCTATTCTAACAGGATCACCCTGGCTGCTGTGTTGAGAGTAAGCTAAAGAAGGGTAAGGGCCGAGGCGGGAGGTCAGATAGGAGGCCACTGCAGTGACCCAGGCAAGAGATGATGGTGGGTGGAGCCTGGAGAGCAGCAGAGGAGGTGAAAATTGGTGGGATTCTGGACACAGCTAAAAGGCAGAGTCAACAGGATTAGTTGATGGTTGAGCTGCAGGGTGTAAAAAAGAGAACTGGAAGGATGAAGTTGACATTTACTGAAGTAAGACAAATACAGGAGAAGCAGGGCTTTGGGGTGAGGCAGAGGGCATGACTATTGATGCTTAGCTGTGCATGTTTTAATTCTGAGATGCTTATACATCTGACTGGAGATGTCGAGCAGGCAGTTATTTGGATATAAGAGGTCCAGGGAGGTGATATAAATTTGGGAGTCATCAGTTTATAGATAGTGTTTATAGCCAAAGACTGGATGAGGCACCAAGGAAGGGAATGTGGATA